ACACACTAACACACTTACACATACGCACACACTACTGTAAAACACAGGGGGACATCCCTTACATACTTGTCTTTTGCGTAATGGCGTACAAAAACAAACATGCACACATGAAAAGATGAGAGCCTGAGGTGATATGTCGTCCTTTGAAGGCTCTGAACACACACAACACCACATACACACACACAAACACACACACACACACACACACACACAAGAAGAAGAATGTTAGCTCCATGTCTTCAGGCTAAAAAGTGCTGCTTCAAGCAAGAGTACAAAGTGGATTCACATCCTCTTCTGTCTCATTGTCATGACTGCCCTTTCTTTGCTCTTTCTGTTTTTTTTTTCTATGCTAAACTCGTGAGAATCTATCTTGCCAGGCTTGAAGCTATGCACTTGTGTCTAATCACTTGGTTTAATGTAAGGTGTGTGTGACGATGTGTGTGAGAAGTGACTGAAAACTACAGCAGCGGCTGATAAAGTAAGAGTAGCTGCAGCTAGCATCAGTTATGTCAGAGCTGAAGAGTATCCCTTCATTGACAGCAGAGCAAAAAACGGCACCAAAGGTTTTTCTTGATGGAAAATGACTCAGTAAGAGTTTTACTTTGTTACAAGGTTTATTGATCTGTTAGTTAGATGGTAATGGATAGATGGTTCATCCAATCACCTGCTGAGTATTTATTTGAAAGTGCCTTCCCTTCTGCAAACTGTTTCCAAATGACTTCCCAGATGGTTCTGTGTAACAAACCATCTGGTGCAGTCTGGTTATTGCTTTTCCTCCCCATGGCTGGCTGCCTCTCTGCATAAAGAGTCTCCTCCTTCTGTCTCACCTCTTTGCCTCAACAGTTTTCTCCCAACAATTTGTCCTCTCAGTGTTCTGACTAATAACCCCTCCCAAATTCCCTTTCTCTTTCTCCCTCTCAATATTTATCTTTCTGAGTGGTCGCCAAAAAGCAGCCCGCAGCTTAAATAAATGATTCTGCATTTTAAAATACACACAGCCCTTAATCCCTGTGTGCACGCTCACAGTGAATCTGGCAAGAGACACACACTGCTCACAGAAATCAACAAGCAAACAAACGGAGTGACACCACAGTTTAGAGGCCTGACATTTCATTCCTGTCTTAGTTCAGAAACAGTTTGTTGGTGCAACATTTATGAAGGTTTTAATGAATGAAACATGTACAAGAAACTTTAATGAGAGAATCTGCTGCTCCACCTGGGGCGGAATAATTGATCTCTCAATACAACTTGAAAATCATGAAACACGACGAAGCAAAATGGATGCTAATGGATGGATGGACGGATGAGTGTTGATGCAGAATAACATACCAAGAATCCATTTACTCATTTACCACTCCTATGTGATATACAGTTTAATTTATAGTGAGCAGTAAAAAGTTGGACACCATCAATTACAATGTAAATTTTTGTCATTATCACTGGATCTACAAAATGCTGAGCATTGCATTGTGGGATTTTTAGCAGAAGGTAGGGTACCACAGAGAGTCATTCATTAAGTCCAGTAGTGTTTAAAGGACCAGTGTGTAGGATTTAATGCCATCTAATGGTGAAGTTTCAGATTACAACCAACTAAATACCGCTCACTTTCTAACCATGTAGGAAGCCACAAAAGACGAAAGGCCAGCGCTCGCTTTGTCCCTTCTGGGCTACTGTATAAACATGGCAGTTCAACGTGGCAGACTCCGCAGAAGAGGACCCGCTTCCTCTGTAGATTAAAATGTCTCATTCTAAGGTAAGGTATATTATATTCCGTTTAACAAATACATCCTCTTAAATGTTAAACACCTTTAATATTCAACATCAACATTATTTTAGCACGTTAGCACTAAACACAAGGTATCGCTGAGGCTGATGTGAATATCATGCAGGTGTTTGTCAGAAACCAAAGTATTAGATCAAAATTTTGACCTGATAATGGCGCTGGATAAAAAGTTAAAGCATCATCAAAGTTATTACAGTTCCATCAATCCATCAAATGTTTCACTCAAAACCACAAATGTTAACCGTATGGTGGCACTAGATGTTTTTGAGATATTGTTTTGGACTGTTGGTCTAAATGACAACATTGCTATCCATAAAGCCACGCTATTAGCATGACCAAAAATAAATATTCAGTACAGTCACTGTGTGCATACACCACGCACACATATACACCATAAAGTCAAAAAAATGTCCACAAACTTACAAATCTTACTTCCTCTGCGGTGACATCATGGTGAACCCGGTATCCAGTCCCGTTGTCGCGCGGGTCGTGACATCTGCCCGGACCTTTGCCCTGCGAGTGGCTGGTGTAGTAGCGGACAAATCGGGAGCGGCGCACCAGCAGGTGAAGCAGGAAGCAGAGCATCTCCATGCTGATGGAGATGAGGAAGAAGATGAGCGTGTTCCTCCTCTCGTCGGTGATCAGCAGCTTGGTGAAGATGCGAGACAGGGAGATGATCACCCCTGCTGTACCTGGGTGACAACAGAGGAGAGGAAGACAGAGAGAATGAGGCAGTGGAGGAGATGAGAAGGATAGCAGGGATGTGTGTGTACAATTCTGTGTCTGTGTGAGTGTACTTACTCTCTCCAGTCATCACCCCCTGTGTGTACCTCTTGGGCAGCATCCCCATGTAACCATAGAAACTGGACTGCTGCACTGGGGAGGGATGAGGAAGTTGTTATCAGTGCCTAACAGTCAACACTGTAACAACTAAATTTATTTAGAGGCACAACTTCCTGGACCTTCACACACCACTAGAGAGAAGCCGCTCTGACCTCCGGACCTCCACTAATTAAACTGTTACTCTGCTGGCTGAAAGGCTCCGTGTTCACACTCACAGTAACAACAAGGAAACTGGCTCTGTGTATGCAAGTCATTAGCAGCAGCTGAGGGCTGAAGCCGTTACTGTGTTTGCCGTGACACTGTTGCTTGTTCATTTGACAACTTGGACTGATATTTAGCACCACGAGCACCAAAAGCTTTCATTACACTCTCTATATACAGTATATGTGTATATAGTGTAGTATGTAGTGCAATTCAATCTAAGCCCCACAATTAATATGATCTCTCTGATAGTTTGCAGTTTGAATTATACTGTACGGTAAGATCTGAGGCTGTATTATATATGTGTGTCTATATTTATAATTTATACCTACATCTATGATACAGTATCCATATCACTGCAGGAATCTCTTTATAATGTATATCCATAATATGATGGTGCTATGACATTCAACATCACCAGTACATGCTCTATGTTTTACCCTCATAAACAAACAAAACAATGAACTGAAAGTAGCTTAAATGCTGTGAGGAACTGCAAAGTCTGCTGGTCTCTATGAGCAACTCCTTTTACATTACACTTATTCATGTATAGATAGATAGGTAGATAGGTAGATAGATAGGTAGATAGATAGGTAGATAGATAGATAGATAGAAAGGCATTATTATTAGTAGTAGTACCTGTACACCCGAAGGCCACCACTCCCACTGACACGAGGTTGACGATGTAAGCCTGCCTGGTGGTGAACTTCGCCAGCCACACATCAAACACACTGACAAAGACCAGCGGCCCGAGAGCTAAGATGTAACCTACAGAGAAACAGACAGACAGACAAACCGACAGACGGACGGACAGTGAGGAGACAGCACTGAAGCAGGTCACATTCTGACTGCCTGACTGAGCACATATTTGACAGGTCAGAAATGTAAAAAGTATGGCTGAAGTCCGTTCCTGAGTTTATTAACTCCAGAGACAAGCTCTCCAGCAGACACACTTCAAAAGATATTTCCTCAAGGATGCAAGCGGAGCTATTTTAAGCTGCAGAGGGTAAGATGCTGGATCCTTGCTCTTACATGCTGTATATGTGTAGAAATATCAAACTTCTCCTCGGGGGAAATACATTTTTAAAGAACAGTTTTTTACTTTTGCATAAAAATGTTTTTAAAAGAAATTATACTGAGTAAGCTGAACAACTTTAATAGTTTTTATGTTGGTCCCCAATATCACAGTGTCTCTTAATTATTTATACTGCAAAGATGTGTGGTAGATTCAAAACCAGCTTTTCAATGAATCATTTTGGGCCATATTTAAATTTCTCCAAAAAACCTGAAGTAAACAGTGAATGTGCACACTTGTGTGTTAAATGCACAGCATAGCGAGTTCACTTTAAAACATTTTTGAAAGCTGAAAACAAAACTGATTATGATGCAAGAATTTTTTAAAAGCCACAAGAAAAGCAGAAATATGCGGCACTCTGGAAAGACAGCTCTTTGTGAATTCACGGTCTTTGGAAAAGTTTGTTTGAAACATTTTACCAATAAAAACCACAGGAGAATTATGACAGAGTATATGTTTCTTTTTCTCTTTATACTGTCTTTCCAGCTCTGCGTATTCTGCCCTGATAAGCCTTGAGGTTCCCAGAGGGTCATTAATGAATGAGTAACAGCACAAGCTCCCATAATGAGAAAATCTTCACAATTAGAGCTCTGTCTGTGAGCCGGTTCCTGCCTGACTTACCCACAGTGATTCTGGTGTGCATGCTGAGTCTCTCCACCAGCACATTGTTGAGGATGACGGCCAACAGAGCCACCAGGATGTACGTCAGGCTCATGTCGAACACTATAGACGTCCCTGAAACACACACAAGAGCCAAGAGACTCCTGGGAGCTGTGCATTTGTGTCTGTAAAACTCATGCAGTTCTGTAAGCACACATGGATTTTATTCATGCATATTTATACCTTTAAACTTATGGTGCAGGTAGTCCACATCAGTAATGAAACTGTTGTAGGGAAGCAGGAAACCCACTCCAGCCAATAGCATTGCAAAGTAGATGCCATGGTAACGGTCGTCAGGGATCGGCTCCTCAAAGTCTGAGCGGGAAGGAGGGAGTGAAGGGTTAGAGGATTTTAAAAGTACTCTCAAACAGTGGGGATAAAACATGACTTTAAAACATCTGAATTAGGTCTGAAGCCAACACACTCGATCTTCATTAAAGCTTATCAGGATGAATGAAGCTGCAGCAGCAGCAGTGACGCCTCTGATCCACTGTTGGAGCAGCTAATGCAGCAGAGGACCATGTTCCCATTGTGCTGGTGGTAAATTGATCAGAACTGCTGATTGTGGACTAGCTGCCCGAGTACTTTCAGTTGAAAACTGGACTTTTGTGTTCTGCAGCTGATTTAGTTTCATGGTTTAAGTGTGATGTGCAGCTTCTTTATATAACTATTCAGAATCCTTTCCTAATCTGGCGAGCCTGCTATTAGCAGCACTAAATCATTTTTGAGCATTTATATTCTACAGCCGACTAAAGGTGTAAAAATATGAATTTATTTCACTTTATTTTTGTATTTATTATTATGGTAGCTGGGACTGATAAGTTATTTTCCAATTCATCTGCTGATGGGTGATAAACTTAGCTCTCCAGTAATCCACAATGACTACACAACATACAGTATAGCTCCAGGAAGCTATTCCATTTCTGCTGTTCTGTTGGGTTTGTTAGTAAAGGAAGTGCAGCAGTCTGTCAGGCTTACAACAGCAGATTTGTTCAGAATAAAGAAAACTGTGTAGTTAGCATGAGCACTGAACATCAGCAAGACTGAACAGACAGAAGAAAAGATCACGCCTGCAGAAACTCAAACCTCATTAACTAAAAATCCAGTGAAGACAACAGCGCAGCCCCGCCCACACTGTGTGACTGACATTTGAATGGTGGATTTAAGGGTGATGAGGGGTGGTGGATTTTATGTTTCACTTTGTACAAAAGCAAAAACGTTTCCAGGGTTCTTATTGTTTTCTTTGAACCCTCTTTAAAGAACCAGTGAGCAAGATTCAGTGGCATCTAGCAGTGAAGTTGCAGATTGCAAACATTTGAATACAGCTCAGCTGTCCAAGTGTGTAGAAACTACAGCGGCTCTACTAGTAAGGAACACAATGGGCCCTATCTAGAGCCAGTGTTTGTTTTGTCTATTCTGGGCAACGGTAGAAACATGGCGGTTCAAAATGGCGGCCTCAATGGAATAGGACCCCCACCCCCTGTAGATAAAAACAACAAAACACAATAAAAACACAACAATTCTTATTTTCAGGTGATTATACACTGTGTATAATCTATGAGCATATACAATATAATCTATATATTAACCTTCCCCACAACATGATGAAATAATATAACAGTGTTAAACTGGTACAACTTGTTTAATAGTGTACCTAATTTGAACCTTGATATCTTAATGAAACTCTAAGTGAGCCACCAATATTTAATAAAACCCTGATACAGATACAGACTGTTGTCCTTTGCACGTGGCAAAGTGTATCTGTATAAAGCATGGCGTAAATTAAAGTTTTCTTTTTTATGTTAATGTAACTTCTAACTATAATGTAAAGGAAGGCTGAAATAAAATAAAGCCAAAAGAAAAATTACACCACCACCACCTTTTCTGACCTTCTCTAGCCCTCTATTAATTTGTGTACAGTCCCTTCGTAGAACCACAGATTGTCGTGTAGGTGCAAGACCGTAATGACAGGCTAGGATTAATTAAATCTTTAATTCTGCCTTTTTACATCTCCGTCATGTTTTTTCTGAAGGGAAAAAGCTTTTGTTGGCTATACACTGAGATATGGATACTGACAGCTACAGAATAAAGACAGAGGCAAAGCATGAAGAGACTGGGAGTAGAGGAAGCGTTTGTCAATCTAGGACCCTCGCTGTGCGTCTTTGGTCAGTTGTGATCTGATTAACGTGCCCTTTGTACAACCTGAGTAACCAGGCAACACAGCAATTTTCTGTTAACCGGCTTGCCTCCTGTTTTTTTACATAAGCTTCCCTCGATCTCTCATCCTGTCACTGGTTTTGTTCTCTCAGCCTCCATCATTGTCTGCAAACACATGCACACACACACTGTCTTTCATTGAATTCAGCCAGTCTTATTTTTCTTGCAGAATGAAGAAAATTTAAAAATATGCCAATGTTGTCACTTTTATCACATTTTTAAAGCGGAACTGAAAGCTGAATTCTCCTCACTATCAGTGTCAGGAAATATAAACTATACTGATACAGCAGCTATTATCTATCTATTTTTCAACATTAAAACCATTTATGGACATATTTATGGAAATAATGTCTTCAATCCTCTGGGGGGGTGTTTCCCGTGGCAGCGGTTGACTGACATTTAAGTGCGGTGTTGCTAGGAGACACGGTGTCAACTACAAGATGTTTTTTTCATCTTTTTTCAACAAGAACACATAGCTTTATTTATGTATCGTGTTGTATGTTCATTAGACATCTGTTCCTTTATGAGGCTCAACAACATTAAGGACACAACTGCCCAGAAAAGGGGAAGAGAGAAAGCAGGGCTACCTAGCTATACTACTCCACCTTTAAAATAAAGCTAGTTAGCTTAACCTGCTAATGTTACCATGAGTTTACACATTTCTTTTTGTTCATATAATTTTATTATGTGCTGAATCATCAGCAGCTCCTGGGCTGTGTTTGTTGTGCATTATACAGAGGAGGGGGGCTAGTTAGCATTAGCTGTCTCTTTGTCATGGGTCCAGTTGTTGTGATGGAAAATAACCAGACGGTCATCACTCACATCAGTGATTAGTCCTGTAGCCTTTAGGACTGTTTATAAATCGAATCATGACATGGAGTACATAACCTGCGGAGTAACTTAGGAAGTGCTCAAATCACAGATCATGAAGTCAGTCTGCCACCTGGAAAACTGTCTGAGGTGATACCAAAAAACATTTTAGTGCCCATGCACACATATTTTGCTCCAATCACATTATAGCACAGACGACATCAGTCGGAGCCAAAAATGTGTGCTCCCTGGGGAACAATAATGTAGGCGGCGATATCACTGTAGAAAAATAAAATTAAACTCACATGCCTCACCAAATAACAAAACAAATGCCAATGTAATACCTATATATACTATTTTCTCAGCAAAAAATATTTTTGTAGCTAGCTATGTAATAATAGAATTGACACAAGACTGGATAAGACTGCTACAATAAGACTACTACATCTCTATCTACTCTATAGAAATTTTTAACAGACTTTAAAACCATTTATGGATGTATTTGTGGAAATAATGGCTTCAGTCTTGTGGGTGGGTGTTTCCCATGGCAGCGGTTGACTGACATAGGCCTATATAGTTTATAAACATGTAATGCTCTTATTAACCACCAAAAAGGGTGTTATTTGCATATAATGAGTCACAAATATACAGAATCTATCTATCTATCTATCTATCTATCTATCTATCTATCTATCTAGCTAGATATCTAAACATACTTTGTTTTCCTGGTGTTTGAGAGTAGAATAAAGATATTTTTGTGGCCTCCTTTTTCACATTGATGAATTGCTGTTACTGATACATCTCTTTCCTCCCATCTTTCTTTGTTCCTTGTCTATAACACACACACACACACACACACACACACACACACACATACAGATAGTCAGAATAGAAAGTCCCTCACCGGGCTCGGACAGAGCCAGCACTCCTCGCTCTGGGGCGTCTTTACTGATCTCCTCCTCCTCCAGCTGGAACGAGTCGAAGCTGTAGCTCTGCACCACCCCGCTCTCTCTTCCCTCTCTCAATCCCTCCCTCCCCACATCCCTCCATCCACCTCTTCCTCCATCCCTCCATACATCCCTCTCCTCGGGCGTCAGGACGGGCGTGGGCCTGCGGCGCTCCGCGCCCACTGAGCCCATCTCTGTGCTTTAAGTATACACACACGCACACACACACACACAATAAACACTACTTTTGACACTTCAAACTACACACTCTTGGGAGCGTGCATGTTAATCACAATCACCACAACAAGCACTGTAAGAGAGGCAGGAGACCTTCAGATGATGGAGGATCTGTAGGGGGAAATAGAAGCAGAAACAGAATTAACATGTAAAAAAAAAGGCAGCGATAGAATTACAAAAAGCATCTGTCAGGGCCTCACTGAAAGTCAGAAGAGTCAAGGTTAGACACCCCAGAGAAAAATAGTTTGCTGTGTGAATGTTTGCGTGTGAGAGGCATATTAAATGAGAGAAACAGTGACAATGGATGCATGACTGGGTGAGAGACAAGGTGAGTGAAAATGCAGCTCTGCATTCAATAAGCAGGCACTGCGATATACACCACTGTGCAAAGTAGAAGAGACAATCAATTAGTCAGCTGACAGAAGATTCATCAACCACAATCTTGATGATCAATTAAGCCAAAAAATATTAAATTGTCACTGGTTCAAGCATCTCAAATGTTTTTTTTCTGTTTCTAACTTTTTACACAGAATCTTTCTGGGTTTTTAATTCAATTTGGAAAAACATGTTATAGACTAAACAATGCATTGAAAAATAACATAAATAAACAATCATCACATTAATCAACAATTAAAGTAATGCTTAGCTGCAGCCCCACAGGATATATTACAGTAGTTATCTGTCTGACTAAGACTTGTAGTTTAGCAGGATAATGAGCCAGGACAGTAAACAGTAAAGTTGTTTTAAATTAATGAGCTCACATAAAGCTTCTTAATTAACTATTTCATTCTGGGACATTTAAAGTAACCAATAAAAACCAATATGCCAGCAGGTGTAATTCACTGCATTTATCATCATATATTCATTCATACGACTGCAATCAGGGATCATTTTCATTATCAATCAATCTGACTATTATATGCCTGATTAAATGATCTATAAAACATCAGAGGAAGCCCATTGCGGCTTCCCTACATCCCTAAGTTGATGTCTTTTTATTGTTTGTTTTGTCCAAAACCCAAAGATACACTTCTTTTTGATATCACTGAGAAATACATCAATCGATTATAAAAATAGTTGCTAATCATTTATCTGTGGATCAACTAATCGATAAACATTCAGCTCTGTCATGCAGCAGCTTATTCACCCACTATTAAACACAATCGAAAGTGTATTTAACACTTCTCATAAGGTCTCCCTTCTTTCATTACAGCAGCTGAAACGTGGCTCAATAACATGCTTTCATTAACTCCAGTCAACAGGGAACTGTTGAGGAAAATGTTATTGTTACAGGCGCGATCAATATGAATGGGTATTGACACTGTTCCATATGCAAACACACATACAATAAAAGCTCATCTATTGTGCAGACCTGTGTGGTTACACAGACGCTTGAGGACATTCTGCCACACAATTCAGCTCTGTCACCACCACACATCCGCCCTGCTGTGGCCTCTGATGACCTGAGAGTTGCATTATTTCAGCTCTGGTCTACAAAATACGAAGCAACTCAGTCAGTCAGGAGCCCAGCTGCTTTGGTTTTAAGCTGAGATTTTATTTTAAAGCTGTCTGGGAAGTGGCAGGATCAGATAATGTGAGGAGGTTCTCATCTCATCTCTGTCACTTTGGGCTCATCCAGGTGGATGCAGAGGAACAGGTGATTAAACAGAGGCTGCCTCTCCTGCACAGAGAGAGTAAAAACACTGTGACTGACTAAAGGTTTTAAATCTAATCCTGATGCCAATTCATCTCACATACAGAGCCATCTGCAGACGTTCCCTCTCCAGACTAGAGGCGGCGCTCTCAGCCCTCCTCCTTTAAATTAAAAGGCTCCAGCCAGCGAACCATAATTGAATTGCAGTCTCATATCACGCTGGTGTTTCTATTGTTTACTTATATCACAATAAAATAAACATCGAGGGTCAGAAAAAATACTTGATTTCACAACCTCTAGCAGACAACAAATGGGGGCCTAACCGGGAAATAAATACTTGGGATATATGCGTTAACTCCTAATCAATTAACCTCACGTGTTACTTCACAGTCGCGAGTGAGAATTAGAAATTGGGATTAATTAAAGGCGAAAAACACGACGGATGAGCAGTGGAGGATACACAGAGATGCTCTCTCAGTCTTCTTTTCCAAAAAAATCCTCATTAAAACGATCCGATCAAGTCCAACAAGGGTTTATATGTCGCTTTTATATCCATCTTTGTGTTTTTGTCTGCGACGGCCGCGTCCACCGCGCTTTCTCCCTCAAATGAGACACAAAACACACACAAACAACAGGTTATTAATGGCCCCCTTTACCTCCCGTGTCTCCCCTCTCGTTTCCCCGGCTCTCACTGCAACGGGAGCGAGAGAGTCCTTCCTGCAGGGGTCTTCGAGGTGGTCTCTGCCGGACTGCCGGACCTGGTCTCTCCTCCTCAGCCCGTCTCCATCAGACAGAAGGGAAGCCCTGGTACCGTCCCTGTGCGCTCCTAACGCTCCGTCCAGCAGCAGCACAGGAGAGGAAGCGTGGATGGATGGATGAGGAGAGCGAGAAGAGGGGAGGAGGGGAGGAGGAGAAGGAGGAGGGGTATTGCATCTGGCTGCTCATCTTTTGCAATCAGTCTTTTCAAACCAATATTGAACAACTTTGTTGAGTTTTTGGACCGCTTGAAATGACTATGACCGCAAACTGGGAGTAGAAATGTAATTTTAGGGTAAGAAAAGAGAAAATGGATGACATGCTTTCAATAGGCTAACATAATATAACTTATAACCAGCAGCTATTATTCACCCTCTCTTTGCAATATATTTAAAAAGCTTATTAAAATAGCAGAAATCAGTAAAGTATGATGACAGAAGGGATCAAAAATAACATGAAATTGCTTTAAATTGCCACTAAATTCTCAGTTGTGCACATAAATCCCAGGAGAACCTCAGGAACATAAAGTTGTGATTTTTCCTTCTAGATTTTCTGTTCATGTCTCTTCAATGCTTTTCCATTCAGTTTGGCTTTATTGGCATGATATGTGAAATACTGTGTGCTGCCAAAGCATATAGATAAGGACCACAGTAGAAAGGAAAGAAAAAAAGAACAATAGAGGGGGGAACTGTCTCTGTGGAGCCTTCTGTGTGATTGACAGTTTTATCAGTTCAGTTCAATATGCTAATGCTTTATTGTTGGCACCGGCTCCGTCATATTGCACACCCCCACTGTTGCCAGACAGGAGCAGAGCCAGACGGGAATAAGCTAAATGGTATAGCTGTCTTTTCAGGTGTGCTGTCCGTGCAGCACAACAGACCCAGGATCTGCTGCAGCTGAGTTACAGGGACATGTTGTGTGTTTGAATCCCCTTCTTAGTGGCTCTGTCTTTGCATGCTGTCTAAGAAAAAGACATGGTTAGATGCTTTGACTCAGTAAAATATTCACCTAATGTTTGACTCAACATCACAGATCCCATCAAAGATCAGCTCTGTATCACGCACAAGGTTTATCTCATCAATACTGAAGATGTTCTTTGGTGAATTTTAGCATTTACAAATCATTTCACACTGATCTTTTAAAGATTATGTGCATACGCGTTCCCTTTGATATTCTGGATTTCTATTTCTAACATCCTGCATACTGGCACATATTCATAAAAATGAATCCAGCAATGTCTATCATGATGGGAAGAAGACTCACAAATTAGAGAGAAACTGCATCGGCCTGAAACACATGCAGAAATATTAACAATGTGTAAAAGAATGAGATGAAACTTATGAACTCTGTACTGTTTCCCACTCTCATTCATCCTGACTTTCACTGTTGTTTGTCTCACACTTTAAACACAACTATTTGCCTATACTGTGATTGTGTGTGGGAGCTTTGTCACATCTTAATAGTGCTAATAGACTCTTTCTGTCGGACTCTTTCTTCCTCAGTTCCCACCTCCTCTTTACGCCACTTTACTTTCATTTACCCCTAAATCCTGTCAGCCACATTGCACACCAATAGAGCACACTAAAACAGGTTTTACAGCAGCTTTACAACAAAAACACCTTAGCTGTAGTTTGGGAGTTTTACGTTATTAAAGCACATGGCTGCAGCCAAGCACTGTAGAAGCCCTACAGTGGAACACATATCTTGCCTTAATTGCTGTCTTTCTGTTTTTAGCCATGCTAGGCCCGGCTCTAAAGATAGCCAGTTGGTGGGTTGGTACACCACTTAGGTCCAGACCATTCGCAGTATATATATAATCCAGACTGAAATATCTCAACAACTATTGGATGGATTCATGTCGCCCACAGAATTAATCGTGATTTTTCGTCTAGGGTCATCGTCACGTACAAGTTATTGACCAAATATCCTATCAGCCTCAGCTGTACTTTATATTTAGTGCTAATTAGCAAATGTTAGCATTCTAATACTCTAATAATAGCATTTAGCTCAGACCACCACTGTGCTAGCATGACAGTAGACAGAAATTAGCATGTTTTGCTGGCTGGGGTTGAGATTTAGAGAGAAATAAATGTGAATAATATTTAAATGTTTGCCAAAATGTCTTTTGTGTACATTAGTTTTCTTGCAAACAAACAAGAGTTATATTTACATTTGGTGTCATTCACCAAAACTGTGTATCCTTGAGGTCTAACAATGTAAACCAGAAGTTGGAATTGAAATAGTAATTTCATCTCTTAATCTCATTTCACTTTAGATCATAATCAGTTAGTAAATACTAAGTATGTTATAAGTACATATTAACACAGAAATTATACTTATTCTCAAATTCTTTTCAGTTCTCTTTTGCTATCCAATTAAATAAAACACAATTTAGTAACAGTGACAAAAAGATACAAAACTGCAGCGATGAAAGCCAAAGAAATATTTAGAAATGCCAACTGTTCTTCAAACAGTGCTGTCCAGACAATGAAGCCACACTAATCTGTGATTTATCAACCAAGCTTTTCTTTATGGGGCACACAAACATATCCTATGACACAGCAGGCGTTTTGATGCTGGTCCAGAAACACGTTCTCGAGATGAATTTAATCTGCATAAAATCCTCTGGATCATGGGGGCGTTGTTTTTTGGTTGTCTTCCTGCTTATCTCTTTAGCCGGCTGTTTGTTTACCTGTC